TTAACGGCCTTTATTTATATATATATTTGATTTTTTTTTTCTCAGAAGTCACATTCTTAATTTAAATTTCTGATACTTATGGAAGCCTGTTTCCGCCACTGTTAAAATAATAAAAAATAAATTATCTCATTATAATGAGATAAAAAGCTGAATGCTTTTAGAGCTCTGCATTTTAAATCACTGAAATTGAAAAAGCATTTGAAACAAAATCAACATGGTTATTTAAAATCCAAAGAGAGGAAAATGAAAAAAAAAAGTCTTAAATCTGAGAATCCAGTTCATAATAATGTTTCAAGCCCCTTATTTTCAACCATGTCTATCAGTGTTTTTCTATAAACCAGCTTTTATCTTTTGTGAAAAGAAAGAAACTCTAGATAGTAACAGATGGACGCCATGTTGAATTCATTTGTTACCTGATAAAGGTAAGACTTCCTCCAGGAAGTCTCACTATTAGAACAAAACTGTAAAAAATTTAGATAAGAAAATAAATCCAAACAAAGAGTATATAAAGATCCTTTAATCATGATTGCCAACCATATGAATTAAGGCATATACAGTATAAAAAAGCAACAGCAGGACTTATGTTTATACAGTTTCTGAGCGTTATTCACTGAGTACACCAGGCGGATGAACTGAACAGACCAAGCAGCCTCTATGAGGCGACCATGGCGTCCCCACAAAGCTGACAGAAGTTTGTAAACAGTGTCCATAGCACTAAATTCAAGTAATAAAACGACCACAGATACTATGAAGGTAAGGTGTTGTGTTGGTGAGGCAGAGCTGCTGATAAATATGCTGTTTGTTGGAGAATGAGCTTAATTATTCAAAGGTTGGCTTTAAATAACATTGGGTGAGTCCCTCATGATGCAAGTCTGGATCAAAGTGCTGCGAAATGCCTTAACCTGTCCAATTAGAGAGCATGCAGACCACAGTGCGATGATGTGCAGCTTTCTACTGACCAAATATTCAATAAACAGCCTCATCCAGATGCTTTAAAGGAAAAGTCGCTCATATTCAGAATTCAAACTTCGG